AGTCTTCGACATCACACCACACTCAACCAAGCAAGAGTTTGCAATCTCGACCCTTGCCAATAACTCGCCATTCAGATTAGAGCATGATCTATGGAATTCTTTGGCCTTTTATGTTTGCTCGTTAGCTTTTGCACTTCTCCATTCCTTGTCATGGCTTTCTGCAGTTGTTCCTAACTTTCCTTAATTTTCCTCGAAATTCCTGACATTTCTGGTTCTTTTCTCAGCTCGCAAAGAAAATGGAAGTAGTAGGACTAGTAGTAATCGTCGTCGTCGTCCTAGTACTGGCAATTAGTTAGTAGTAGGCAGTTTGTCGTAGCAGCAGTAGTAGTGGTCGTAGCAGTCGCAGTAACAGTAGCCGTAGTGGTAGCGATCGCGGTAGGGTAGGGGTCGAGGTAGGCGTTGGGGTACTGGTAGTGGTAGTGAGCTCGTGCCAGCCTCGTCTGTCAGCATACTGCCCATGCTGAAGTGCCTCTCGAGGACAGGGTCCTCAGATGTGGGGAGAAGTCGTCTTTACGGTATTCTTGGAAAACCAACAAAGGCTTCTGCGCGGAGAGCCTCATTTTCATGACCTGCAGCATATACCCTTTTCTGCCTCGAAAAATGCTACCGCTGCTACCGCTTTGCTGGGGAGCCTTTTCTGCGCGCCGAGGCATCCATGAGATGTTCGAGACGCGGCCTCGATCTGAAAAAGTGCGCCGAAGTGGCACAGCCGACAGGGCAGGCCTCGCGGGCCCGAGAATCAAGCGGCAAGCCTGCGCCTGCCCAGATCTCTGAATCACAAGACATGTTATAAGACTCGCACGTCGACACGTACGTTTTGGCCCGATCTGCCGTCTGGGAACAGCCACAGCTCCGTCGTGGATACTTTAAGTACGAATGCGCATACGGTATACGTTCGATCATGCAACGAGTGTCACAACGAGTGCAAGACAAGATACAGGGAAGCACCTCAGGGCGCAAAATGGCAACATGTGAGAGAGTGTCCGAAAGCATGCCAGAATGCATGAGGCCTGTTTCCAGCATACGACTCGATAGCCTAGCAAGCCTACATTTAAAGATGCGATACATCACCAGAAATACACGAAAGAATGAAGTCTTGAAACGGCGCGAAGAGTTAAGACACAAGATGTATGTCGGTGGACAAGCTGTGGCAAACATAACGTTACAGACGCGTGAGTGCTCACACACACACACACACGCACAGCAAGACAGCAAGCCCACACACGGATGCTTGTGCATAGGTAGATACTGAATCCCATCTCGGCATACGTATAGAAGAAAAACGAAGGTCTATGTATTCTTGTACAATTACATGATTGTTGCGCTATACTGGCACAGATACGCGTATCCACATACATATTACACGATTTGTTTTCTTTGGGGGGGGGGGTTACCTCACTTATGCAGCGTACTGATGTGTTCAGCACGTAATCACACACACACACAGAGACCTTGATTGCATCTGCATTCGTATTGCCAGACTGGAGCTTTGCACGCATTCTTGTTGACATTCAATGTCTGCGCATACACCTTGGTGACAATGATGTCAATTTCTGCTTCTGCAGTGTGCGCTTTGAGAACCAGGGCGAAAATGATCATCCCCTTCTCAGATAAACACAAGACATGTTTGTCAGTCATGTGTGTCGAGGTGCTTACAAGCACAATTACGGTCTACCTATCGATCCATCGACATCTTCATATAATGTACCGGAAAGCTACGAGACCACATCGCGCTGCAGCATTCTGAGCAGGATATGCGCGCCTGCAGCGCACCATGGCAAGCCTGTTGACAGGTGTGAAGAAGAGTAATCCCGCAATGCCGCTCACCGTATCTCTCGCCTGAAAACATCCCGAGTCTGTGAGCAAGTCCAGTGCAAGAACTGTCGGGGCCTTTGCAGGAGCACAACAAAGCATGACTGCCTCCCGACCGCACAAGCTCCGCACGCATTGAGAAGCACTCTCACCTCGCCATGGCGACGACTAGACGGCTGCAGTGCCCAGTGGTCACGATTAGGTCGAGTTGCAAAGTGCGAACTCGGTAGCCTTCACCAGGGAAGCAAGCACCTGCACCAAGCATCACAGAACTTCTTCCAACCCCCCCAGCGAGAAGGATCTTGAGACCCAGGCCTCTGTGAACTGAGATTGCCGCTGCAAGGGGGGAACTCAGTGCAGCTACAAATCAGTCTTCCGCCAGTTGCAGACCTTGTGAGGTTTAGGTTGTCCGACCCTCGAAATGTATCAGGGCAAATAAAGCTGGTTTGTGGCCGCGTCATGCGGATCTGCAGCACGTGGTTCCCAAACAGGGCTGGCAAAGACTGGATCGCCTGCTGTGGGCCTTGCAACTCGGCTCCCGGCAACCGTTCTCGGCAATTGCCTCTGCTGGGGGCATGTACCTGCGCCCAAGGTCTAAGGTAAAATCCCAGCAGGACCCTAAAAAACAAGCAGAGCTCACAAGAAGTTCAGCAGTGGCACGTGAGAACATCTGGCTCGAGACGCGAATCATCAATCTCCTCGAACACGACCGGACGGAAGCCCACAGAGCGAAATTCACGGCGCTGCGTCTCAACTAGTCATGGTGTCCTCCACAACTTTCAGAGCAATCAGGGGTCTTTCCGATGCCGCCGTGACCTTCAATAAAGGACCATTGGCAATCCGACCAACTCACCTGATTGAAAAACTGCAACAAGCCCGTGACGGCTGCATTGTAAACTTTGATGTTCAACCTCAGCTGCTGCGAGCTGCCGCAGGGATCCAGTGCTCCCACGATCGGATGCTTCAGACCGCTGAGAAGGATGCCTGACACGCTGCTGCTGCAATTCCTTGAGCAGCTGCAGGGCAGGTTGCCACTCTCTGGCCTTATGGCTCCGAGCATGTCTATGGAGTTGTCTATGGCGACTTGGCTGCAATCTTCTCGCGAGGTGAGCTCGCAGCCTCTGCACATGCAGCGATCACAGAGCTTCCTGTCAGGACCTCAGATCTCAGAAGCGATGGGATTTCTCAGCATCTCAGTGCCCCGTCTGCCACACTTGAGTTCGAAGCATCAACTGACAGATGCAGAGTGTGCAGAGCTTCTGAGAAGAGCTGCACCTGATAAGAGAGGTGCCAATGCAGGGAGGTGTCGTAGCCGTTGCAGCCACAAGTCAGAGTTGGAATACGGCATAGCTCAGACGAGGCACCGCCATCTGCCATCCATTGCATCCGTCCGCTGCGCATGCACTGATCACCTCGCCACATGCGCAGTCAGTGTTTTCCGACCGTACGTCCACTTCGAGCAGCTCGGGCAGCGTGCAGCGTTGTAAGGCGTGATGTCAGGCCTGCACTCTGCATTGCTGAAGCGGGGTTAGCATCACTGAAGGCTCTGCTCATGGTCCGGGTAGGATTGACCTACCAGCACAAGGACGGCCCGGAAAGACCAGGCGAACGCGATCCCAACCCCTGGGCCAATGCGTCAGCCTGAACCGCTGCAGGGCCATGCGGAGCAGCTGCAGAGCTTCTTGCCATTTGCGTCCTGGCTTAAATTATCACGACCACGTGCGATTGCACGGCCACGCATGACATCCGACCTTTCTCGCAGGCACTGATGGCAGCACTGAAGATGACCAGGTCCTGAACACGCAGGCAAGTCGAGCGAAGACTGCTGCATAGAATTGGGAAGCCGACTGTGCGGGACCGTTCTTCAAGCATCGTGCTCAAGACGGACAGGGCCTCTTCAATAATTACACCCACTAAGGCTCGCTGGCAGAAGCTCAGAACATTCAAAGTGAGGCCTGTTGCCAACGACCGCTTTTCTCGCAACTGAAGAGTGCAAGTCGAATGCTCAGTTGACCTCGACTCCGATTCTGCGTCCCGCGCGCACTGATGGCTGCACTGCAGGCGATCGTGTCAGGAAGCAGCTGGCACCTTACTCGGAAGCAGAAACAAGCATAGCGAAGAAGTCGATGCACATGTGCCTCTGCAACTGGCCCAGTAAAGCCAGAGCCTCAGTAGCAGAGCTCTCACATGCCCTCGCAACAGTGCACGGGTCTCAATCCAGGGCCCCCGCACGCTCCCACTGCCGGCACTTTTCACAGGCACTGATGGCCCCGCCTTAGCTCAGACCACAGGTGTCCTTCAGACGATAGTTCTCTGGGCATGGCACTGTAGGAGACAGTGTCCGCTGGAACTCTGACAGCTGTCAGGGCATCCAGGACTGCCAAGGCCTGTGGCACTGAGGAGAAAGTTTGGTCGAGGAGTCAGAGCAGGCAATGCGAGGGTTCCCGCCTGCATCCACTGCTGGCCTTTCTCACAGGCCGTGATGGCGGCGTTGAAGCAAAGAGTGTTCAACGAGAAGATCGAGTCCTCTTGCCCAGACTTGCGACAAAATGGTGCTTTGATGTTCTGTAAGCAAGTCCTGTAGAACCGAAAGGGCTTCTGCCCAGTTACTGCTGCGTCCCAGGCTGGTGATAAGAACCTCAACACAGCAAAGGGAGCAAGTGCCGAGAGTAGGTCGGGTATCCATGAGGGCGAAGCACCCCGCAGTTGCGCATCAGGCTGCAGACCGCGATCCATCAAGACCTCTCTGCAGCACCACTAGCGAAAACCCAGTACACCTTCAGTCTGCTTTCAATTGCTAAGCTGCCTTTCGCCATGTAAGCTGCAACGAAAGGTGAGACTGGCCAAACGACGAATGTGTTCCGTCGACTCGGCGTGCATTAGCACGACGCTCTCAGTCGACAAACTCCCTGCTCGAGAAGACATGAAACCTGCACAGGAACTGCGGGTTCTTGACAAGTGCTGCATGACACGTTGATACTACCAGTAGCGGCGTTCGGTACCTTGAACTCCTCGTTCGAAGGGATTCTGTGGACCTGGCCCTCTTTGTCTGGCCGGCTGAATTTTGGCTGAACCAGCTTCGGGCCTGGGCCGTTACAACTTGCTACAACTGCCACAGGCAGGGTCACACTTCATATTGTTTCATCGTCTCACAGCGCAGCGATCAGCTCTCCGTGAGTTTCCATGGACAAGCGGAAAGCACTTTTGGAGGGCCGACGGCCATGAATCCTCAGTTGCTGAGCCGCTCGCTTTTCCAAGCGTCCCTGAGTTTGCCGGGACCGGAAAATCCATCTCGACTTCGCCTGGCGGTACGCGAGAGAAGTCGACTCTAGAACGGTAGAACGCTGACTCCCGCTGCCTCTCTCCACAGGCGGCCGTGATGCATCGAGAGCCATCTGCGAAACGAGCATCTCTTTTTCCCGGGCCACCGCCCTGGGCAGCGGTCAAAAGTGCATCAGCAGCAATGCTTTGCAGACCGGCCTCGCACGCCGGTCGTCGGCGACAGTGCTCGGAGGCCCTGGTGGAAAGCCACTTGACCCTGATGGCCGCAAGGTCGGTCTTCCGAACCACCTGACAGTCTGCCGGTAGTCTGTCATGTTGGGTGCCATGCAAGCGTCAAGTCTGAGGTAATGGCCCAGTTGGTTTAGGTTTTGGACAGGGAGCCTTTCACAGGTGCAACGTTGCCTCTTCCCAATGCAAGAACGAGCTTGGCAATGCAGAACACTATCAAAGCCTGCGCCCGGAGTTCATCCAGCTGCGTGCGCCTAGATTCAGGATTCAGGAAACCACTCTGCTCGGTTCCGAGTGGGAAAACGAATGCAACAGTCTGCTTGGTTTGATGCAACGTCCGCCCTTTCGACACCTGTTCGAGACAGGTGACTCCGCAGTTTCACAGACCGCCCTGATTGCCTGCTTCGCAGCCCGCATGAGGCCGGGAGCTTCGACGGCATCCTCGTCCTCACCGAAAATGTGCTGCATAGGACATGGGGATTGTTTATGAATTGGCATGAGCTTGTTCCTGGTGACATTGCTCCTGAGTCCGCACCGACACCTGTGACAGCGGCTTACAGACGAAATGTGCACATAAAAGTATCTTTGCTGGAATTACGAGTTGAGTGAAGAGCAAGCTCTTCGTCGGCATCCTTCTCGACTTCTTCGGCATCCAACCTTGGCACTCATAGTGTGTCTGCATCATCACGGGGTTATCACCACAACTCACCTTCTAAGGCACGAGCTCCTGCTCTTCTCCTTTGCCCCCGATCCAAAGATCTTTGCCTTGATTCAGCGACTGGACGTCAGGTGAAAGCTGATGCCAACCGGGGCAAAGCCAACGCATCAAGTCCTGAATGAGGGCCCCACTCAGCCCGGGATAGCTTGAGAGAGGTGGTGCGAGCCCACTGGGTGCCCACTCTCCTTCGGCACGAAGCTCCCACACAGAATTGTGAAAACCCCAGCCTACGGCCCTATCATGATTGTATGCCTGTAGAAAGCTAGTCGTCACTTCCGTTGTCGCTGCTTCAGCCCGGGCCAGTCCTAACCCCCACGACGCTGAGTTCTCGCCTTCCTGGCGATGTCCAGAGCTTGGCTCGACTGCATCGTGATGCAACAGTTGTGCTGTGGCTCCGGCTTCCTGGGGTGACATCGGCTCCTGACTGTCGCTCCGCTTCTTGGATGAACCTTGTGAGGCACGAGAAGTCGTCCAACATCTAGCTTTTGCTTCGGATGCTGGGAACGTTGCTGGAGTGCTGTGGAAGTCGTTGCCTACCAAATGGAACCGCAACCAAACTCGCTTTTCGTGTTCAACAGGGGGCTCGCACCATCCAGGTCCGCGCAGTCGATCCTCCGTGCGATGCGCCGACCTGGCAGACTGATGTGCTTTGATGTGCCTTGGCGCCTTGTGCTCCCTACGCCGTATGCACCCAACGCCTGGACTCTTCACCCAGTCCCAGTTCGTGCGGCTCGTCCGGAGGCCTAGACAGTGTCTCAAGATTTCAGGGAGTTGGGCAGAGTTAGGCGGCTTAACGCCGTTCCGGTGATGTGACTTGCTTCGTTTCAATGGTGAATTCTGCAACGAGAGGCCGTAGCCATCGACTTCGTTCCGACCCGAACGCAAGAGTTCAGAAATTGCCCGCGCTGGCCAGCTGCCGGGTCACAGCGGAATACCGAATCAAAAGGGCGGTGGGTGTTCGAAGTCTTCTCCTCCGGAAGCGGCACCTCGAAGGGGCCTCTGCTTCCGGGACTCGAACCTGGCAGATCAGCTCTCTGTACAAGTACCGAACCAACCCCCGAGACCGGCTGCCTTCCGGCTCCCAATCGGCTCTCGGCTCTTACGCATGGCAAAGAGCCCTGCGCAACCGGCTGAGAGCTACAGTTGCGGCACATGAGCAATGCCGTCCGTGGCACTGCGGCATTGTCTCTGCAACGTCGCCTGCAAAAGGATCGCCAGAACTGCTTGGCCCGGCCTAGGTCACGGTTGGCCTGTTCGTCATCGCTACACTAACACTAAGACATGAAGCCAAGCTCAGGGCCGCAGTTTTCCACTGGCTGCCGTCACCTGTCAGACTCGAGAGCAACCAAACGACAGCAGGTTGTCCCGGCGGACCAACAGGGGCGGCTTTGACCCCTCTGACCGGGTGCTTGCGAGCAGTTAATGCTAGATTCCTGGCGAATCGAAGGGAGTTCAGACCTAAGACACCCCTAAGGAACTGGCAGCGGCTTGCTTTCGACGTGCCAACACCATGAGAAAGCGCAAGTTCGAGCTGCAAACATGACAACTGTTGGATTCGGGCTTCAAAGTGCTGCAACTACGGGAAAGCTGTGTCGCCAACAGGGAGCGGCAGTTTTGAACGTCTAGAACTGCCAGTACTTGTGGCTTCCTGCCATCCCCATCAACACCTGAGACACCTGGGGCAGGCACTGGATTGTGCCAGGGATTCTGGTCCTTTTCCGGCAAGATGCCTTACCAGCACTGACACGCCTACGTTGCCTCGGAAAGGGTCAGACCCGGTCTTGCAGCCCAACCTGATGGCAGCGCCACAGCGCTGCAGCCTGCAAGAAATAGCGAGAGACGGCCCTTTCTGGTAAATGCCGTGGGCTCTGAGGATGCAGCTGCAGTTCGGCCGGGCCAGTGGCAGACTGCAAGGCGTCTGCCGCTGATAGCGCACCAACTGAAGAGACCTTCAGCGTCAGATCCGGTAAGAGGCCCCGCTGTCTGAGCAGCTACTGAGTAACTGAGTCGCAAGCTGTTGAACTGTTCGAGGGATCGCTGCCTGGTTGTCGGCACGAGCAACAGCGCTGCAAAATTTCAGTGATCAGGCTCAGGCAAATGTTGACAAGCATGCCACCAGCAGCCAAGCGGACTTCCTCTGCATTGCTTGCAACGCTTTGCTACGTGGATCGCTCTAGGTGAAGGTATCATCCGGGAAAGCATCTGACTCCAGACGCCAAGGCGCGGGGCTTTTCTGGCAAGAGCAGCAAGTTCTCACAGCCTGCAGCATGTGGCCATAGCTTCGCAGACAAAGGCAACCAACAACTTGTCTTCGTCAAAATCAAACCAGCCTCACGCAACAATCCCGCATTCAGAGTGGAGCAACACCTTTTCTTGTTCCTCGTCAAAGTCACTGCATAGGACTAATCACGAAGAAGCACGCACATCGAATGCAAAGCACACCGAGATGTAACAAGACTTGGGGCCGTTCTCACTGTGCCGGGATGTCAACAGGCAGAGAAGGGTGAAGACCTGTAGCAGTGTGAGACTGCTGCAACTGCCGCATTCTGCACCCAGGTTACATGTCTCCGGCCTGTCTGGTCTGCACCTGCTCCGACTCCGGCCCCTTCTTCAAGCAGTCGTAGAGCGCCTGCGAGCACGGGCAGGAACAGTTGCACTGAACAACCTAAACTGACTCGGACGGCTTTGAGCAACGATGCTTGACCGGCACCTCGAAGATGCCCTGGGCTTGTCCAACTGCTTCCTCTTCGTCAGACCAAATGCGAAAATTCCCCAAAGATGCGGAGAAGGGCCAAAGAAAGCCGAAACACATGGCACCCAAATGCCTGCCCGTCATCATCGCCCGATGCAAGGGCAGCGAGTCTCGGAAGTTGCCGCGGAGGGTTCGCTGGTTTAGCAAACTCGGCTAGCCTGAGCGCCCAACAGCTCTAGGACGGTCAAGGACTCACCATCACTGGACCTTGGCTTGGGCATGCTTAGGCCATGTCCGTCCACTTGCAGACTATGGACATCGGCATGGCTTCCAAGGACGATGCTGCAGCAAGCGGACCCAGGTTTTCATGGTCCCGAACAGCAACCTCGGTCTGCAGACGACAAGCAGCACGCTGAAGAGTAGGCCAGGCCAACTGGAGACACGAGAGGCAAGTGGGCTCCTTGCTTCTTTACGTGACGCGATGAGCCAGCCAGGATTTGTAATACAGCGCACACTTCCCGAAGGAACTCGCTGTCTCCGGGGTCCATCGCCTTCAAAGCCATCTCAGCAACACCTTCACGCGTGAGGATGCGAGCCAGCCCGCCACCCGGCAGTGCAATAGATCCTGCGCTGTCCTGCACACGGAAGGAGTCCGGGTTTCGGAGATGTTGGAGGAGAACCGAAAAACCATTCCTCTGTAAGACTCGGCATGATGGGAAGCTCCGAATTGCGCACACTATGTGCTCCGCCTCAACGCTGCTGATTTTCATGGGCTTCACCCCCGAACGCTGCAGCAGGCCATACGATATTCGTAAGCACTCCATTCCAAAAGTGCACACATCAACACTGTCCACGTGTCGGTGCAGTGCAGCAAGGGACCATGCAAAGACCTCCTGCACGAAGTCGGGCTGAGGCTGAGGCTCAGTGACTCCGCTCATTCGCGCGCAGAGAACGCGCAAGGATGCCGAGACCACACGCTCGCTGACACCAACACCGGCACAAAGAAGCTCCAAGGTTGCCTCTTCTGAAGCATTGGGTAAGGCTCGCATGACATAGCGAACGGCTTCTTGCACCTCTCCCTCCAGAAATGGTGAAGGGGCATTCTGTGCACTCTGCTTACGGGTCCATCGTTCGCGATTTCGAAGAATCCCTTTGAAGCTAATCTTCGGCAAATCTGCGGGCTGCGACTCCCGCATCCTCTCCAGCGCCGCCTGCCACGCTTCATCTGAAAAGCAGCTTTGTGCTTCCACGGGTCCGCTGTCAGACCGGTCCGACATCACGTCGTCAGACATCGCCTTCGCGGCGCTCGTGCTGTGTGCCCTCTGCCTGCCACCAGCCTGAGACGAGCTGGCCAGCTTGACTGATTGAATAGCTTGCATCAGTTCGTCGGCACATGCTTCGTGACCCTTCCCATAATACCTCACGACATGTGAAGGGAAGAGCTCCGGAAAGCTGTCTTGCCATGCCGGCATGTCGAAGGGCAGTGACGAGTCATAAAGAAGTATGATGGGCTTGGAGTGCTGCGCGGCCCAAACAACTTCGCTTGCCAACTGTGTCTCGGTCTGGATAGCAACTGCAACCGCCACAGCTGCTACACAGCTGGCCACCTCAAGCGCGTCTCTGAGGAGTCTTCGCCGGCCTTTGTCCAGTGTAGCAGATCCTGACAAACCAGGCTTGTAGAAAGAGCGAAGGCCGCTCCTGCTACAAACGTTGCATATCCAGGATGCCAAGAAATCTGCGTTTGCATCCTCCAAGCTGTGGGATCGACTGATCATGACATCGATATTGCCTTCCGCTGCTGGGTGCTTCCAGGAGAAATGGGCACACCCCATGCATCCGTGTCACGTGCTGCGTGCCCAGGAAGGAGACGCAGCAGCTCACCACTACACAATCAGCAGTTCACGGACTGAGGTTTGAATAGGATCTGACTTCAATTTCTGCCGTGAACCCATGTGATTCAAACACGGCGTTCAATGCTTTGTGGGCAGGTTCTATAACTATGTGCATTTCTACCTGCATGAGCCGAAAGACTTCACTAACGACGTGACAAACTGAGACAGTGATATGTCAAACTGGCACAGTTGCCGCAGCGGAGCTGCCTGGTAGAGGTGCAAACTCCTGCGGAGAACTTGGGTCAGCCTGGGTCCCGGTGAGCACTGGGCAGTCTTGTCCTCGCCCATTGTAGGGACCCAGTGCACACTCGAATCAGTGCCTCTGAATCACATGTAAACATGTGCAAAATGTCGTAGACCCATTTCACGACATCGTTTGCAGTTAAGGTCCGAACAGTCACGTGCGCTGCTGACAAAGGCAGCCCTGCAGATCATGGGTAAGCGTGTGTGGAGTCGGATCACCAAGGCACAAGGAAGGAACGGCCTCGCCGCACAAGCTCATCTAACAGCGATAAACCAGTGATCCATGATTTCACCTGCACAACACGAAGCTTTGTCGAATTTTGTGACCAGATTCGGAACTGAGGCGCAAGCGGAGTTGATCGCTGTCCCGAAGCTAATCTCGTTAGCCTGGAGACCTGCAAAGCGCTTGGGAGGCACGATGAGTTGCGTCGCGGATAGCCCAAGCAACGCCTTCCTGAAGCAATGCCCCAAGGAGGCCAAGGGCCTGGAGAGCCAGAACGGAATGAGCGGTTCCACAAGCTTGAGACCCGGCCTGAGGCCATGCATCGGCTCGCCCGACTGCATTGATGGCGACGGTGTACTCCTACTGTAGTGTGCGCCGGGGTCTTACAGTTGTGAAACCCACAAGCACTTCATGTCGGCCCATCCCACCTTGGCATCAGTTAGAAAACCGTTCTGCCTGCAGTACCACAGTGTATCACAGTGTACCACAGTGTACCACACTCCCACTGAAGATCTAGCAATGACAGCTTCCGCACTTAGTGCACCCCGGCCTCAGTCGCTCCACCGCCTGCAGTGTCTGCGATTTCCCGGAAGCTTTCAGCCTAAGCCACAGTCTATGGAACGAAAATAGCCACGTAAGATAACCCAGCAGCGTCTTGGCCTGATGCTGTTTGAACAACAGCAACTTGGACTGGGTGGCAGTGTGGCCGCCATGGTGCTGCATCCAAGGTCGAAATCACTCTTGTTACGCACTCTTGTGTGACCGGTCTGCAGTGCAGAATGTGAAGCTCGCATGATGCAGGGCATGAGCCCTCCGGCGGGGGGGGGGGGGGGGGNNGGGGGGGGGGGTTGTTATTTTGCCATTCAACTCCCATCCGCAAACGATAGGTTGACACATCTCATGCTTGAACCAGAGTCACAGACGAATGTCATCAAACTTCCGGGAGCACCCAAGCTGTCAGGTCAGCATCGCGACTCAAGCAGGGCTGGAAGAGCTCCAAGATTTCGGTGCTTCGGATTTCGGCTACGTTATGGTTAAGGGATGTTGAACACAAAATGTTTGGGGTTCCGGGTTTAGGTAGGGTTTTCGGGGTTAGGATGCTATGGTTTTGCATTTGGTGTCTAAGCAAGGTTTGGGGCCTGGGGTTGAGAGTCTTTTATTTGAGGGGGTGCTCTGGTTTAGAAGTACGGGCCCCGTGTCATGCTTTTAACGCGATCCTAACACTGCACTGTCCTTGTAGTGAAACCTGTGCAAATGAATTAAGCTCACTTACACTGCGCTGTTCTGACTGCATGCCGGTGCTGCCGCCTTGCACGACACAACTTCATCAGCTGCACGCTTCATTTTAGCAGGTTCACGAAGTCCGCGAAGTTGACCCGACCATCCTGTAAAGACATTGTGCACGGGCCAAGACTGCCAAGGAGGAGAGAAACAACTCTTGCAAGTCTCTGCTGCGACTCACCGTTTTCTCGTGCATCTCTGACAAGTAAAGACACGAATTGAACTACTGGCACCTCAATTGAGAGGGCCCTGTTCTGTAGCCTTTCAGTGTTTGACAGGCTAAGCACGACACAACACGCAAGACCGAAACCATGATTCTGACGCTGTGGGTTGCTACACGCCTCCGAAGTACAGAGAGTTACACATCTGTGAAAGCAGCATGTCGGTGAAACAGCACACGGCTCAGACATGTTTAGGCAGGCTGCGCCTGCCATTGGTCACCAGGTGTTCCAGCTGTTCCAACTTGACGAGTGCAAGAAATTCAATTCTGCGGGCTGAGACCCCAAGCCCAAGCCCTTTTTCTTCTGCGTTCATGCCGCAGCACTCCGCAACATGCTCTGCCGCGGTTCAGCCGTCACTTCTTCTGTCTAACCAGGTAGATGCCTCTGCAGGAGAAAAAAAGGCTTGCTGTCCGTGCATAAAGCGGACTGCCGAGCTGAGTTCCGGGCCAAAGTCATGCTTCAACCTCATCTGGTCGATGACTGTAGAGGACTTCACAAGAACAGATGAAGTAGACTCACAACAAACTCACGACAGCGGAAGCCAGCAGCTGTGGGTCTTGTGCGTTTCCACCATGCATCCCAGTCACAAGTTCATGCGCAGGATGAGAGCATGCGTACTGTCCTGAGTCCAAAGTGAAGGAACCTCATGCGTACGCCTTTAACTCTGCGGAATGCTTGTACTGCATCATATTGTATTGGATATGGAAGGTGAAAGTGGGCTCACGACCAGAAAGTCATTGCTGACACGCAGGGCATTGTTGTACCTTCAAGATGCATTCAGTCCCCAGACACGAACATAATTCACGTGAGGCTGTGCACGTTGAGCGTCTTTGATCGGCATGGCTTGCATGAAGGATCTTCCTCGTGCAAGTGCCGAGCTCTAGCTACTCTAGCAGCTACTAAGCTACTAGCACGACCCCTGGGGCATGGGACTGTCCTTTGCGAATCGATCTTTGCATCCAACTGACGCTGCCCGATGAGTTTCGCAACCTCGGGCAATTCTACCGAGTGAAATTTTGACGAAGTCTTTCCCCACGAAATAAGACCGGCGTGAGAGCGTGACCTCCCTCTGCATTGACTCCACATCGGTATTGAAGGCTTCCGCCATGCGGTGGAGAGACACGGACAGGAAGGGGGCGAAGTACTGAACAATACCTCCGTGCAGACTGCTGTGCATGCACCTCCTTCACTTCTGCAGAAACATACCTGCTGCTTCCACGCACAGTCTAGTTCAAAAAAAGGCCTTTGCTCCGGATCTGTTCACAAAGGTTGGCCTTGCGCAGAGACTTCGATATGATATGTTTTGACAAAGACACGCAGCTTCTTGCAGTATCATAGGCTCGTCTCAGTCTTCCACCACTTGGCCACTCAGATGCACATCCAGCGACAGTGGCTCCTGGTGTGATTGAAACATGTTGCCGGAGCGCTCCTTCGCACCACAAGTCCTTCAACCGGTCCAGAGAAGCCAAGCAAGCTGCGTACCTACACGTCACGTCTGGGGTTCTGCAACCAAAATGCTGCTGCACAGCTAGCTTTATCCAGGTTCTGACAGCCTTGCTCTGCACAGGCAGTTTTGTCCAGCACTACCATTTCCAGTCTCCTCGCTCTGGCCTTGTACTGCACCACAGTTTTCCTGGTTTTCCCCACCAGCCTGCAGCTGCAGAAGTCGATGGCCAGATCACGGAGCTGCCTCAGGTGAAGACGGCTGGCAGAGTGCAGAAGTTCCACTCACGGGCTTTCCAGGCGATTACATATACTGTTTTGAGGGTGAATGGATGTGAATGGCATGTCCGCAGAGCTGTGTCTTGTGTTTACATTGCATCCGGGCAGGTGCAAGACGATGAGTTCCACAGATCAAGCGTCACACCCGTGCCCCTGCCCCTCCCATCTCAGAGCTCAACGGGGCCATGTCCAGGCATTCCCGGAAGGTCGGCGAATCCAGCAGCTTGCTTTGCACCTTTGGACTCTTTGGTTTTTTGGCAACAGCGCGGCACTTCTGCCCGTGCCTCCGCCCGATCCAGTGAGCCCAGGCCACAAAGCACGCCGTACAAAGCGACCTTAAGGCTTGAGGGAAACACATTTTGGCTTGCTGGGCATGCCAGGACTTCAGAGCGCTCTGCATCTTGAGGGCTGAGAATGTCTGAGAAGGAACTGCCCAGATCCTTCGTTGGTGCTGCACACGGTCTGTGGACCCTTGCAAGCGAGTTCTGATATCTCTGGCCATGTCTGCTCTCTTCCTGCCATTTCGCTTCACCCCGCCACATGACAGAACCCTTGCACGGAGCTTGTTCGTGCAGGCTAGCTTCAAGCAAAGCTAAACTGGGAGGTACTGGTCACTAGTCAGCGCATGACCAAAAGGCTCTTACGGACTAGACATCCGAGCACCTAAGCGATAGAGGCAAGCACAAATTGCAGAGGTCTGTTGCTGATGCTTCGCCTTCACAATCTTCACACATGTCACTTCACAAGCACATCTTCGAAGGTGCATGACAGCTTCGCAACATTGGGCTAGATGCTACATGCACGCATTGGTGATAGCTGATAGGAATGGCCACATTTCCAATCTGTGTTGGGCGAAAAACCGCAGCCCTAGGCCTCGGCCCACCCGGGAGGCCCCTCCTGGCCTTCGGCCCTGCCACTGCCCTTCGGCGCGGGCCCGCGGCGGTGATGCGAGCGAAAGCTGCGATCCCACTCCGGTTGCTCTTGCCAACTTTCTTCAACGATTCTGTTTCATGCGGTACCTCAATCAGACAAGAAGCTCACCTACCGAAGAAACAAGCATCCCAAAGCCAGGAACAATCGAACATTCGGATGTTGCCACGCACGCCGATATGACCGATATATGCTTTGGTTTTTGCAAGTAATTCGTGAGGGTCTTCTTCCCTGAACGTCTCCTTCCTCGGACCCGCAATCGTGTGCCTGTCGAAGTGGCGGTCTGCCGTTTGCGTTGCATCGAGTAAGTTGGTGCAGTCACCAATCCGAAACTCGTCTGCCGGTAACAACTGGTAATTGGGATTCTGCAGGCTTAGCAGTTGCTGAACCGTGTCCTGCGGTTTCACCTGCGAGAAGCTCGTGGCGGCATCTTTGTACTTGCCAGTTGTCATGTTGTACCTTGGCGAGAGCAAGGCGACCTTTGGGATGCCAACTTCCACGATCATGTGGAGACTCAGTGGAGATACGCCGAGGGCAGCACAGACCATATGATGCGAAAATTCTCGATTGGCTGGCTTCATCCTGTCACCGAAAGTCGTCTCTCGCGAGCTGATTCAATCTGCATCCAAGAGCAGCTGCCTTGAAAGGAGTGTGGTGGGCTTTGCTGGTGAAATTCTGGATATCAGAATACTGGCGCCTAAGTCAAGGTTCCGGTCACAGGAAGGCTGGCATGACTTGCAGGCGTCTTGTCTTAGGTCGTTGCTGCAAAGCCCGCAGTCTGATGATGGTCATACAGGTAGCAAACACGGCCTGCACCGTCGCAACTGAGATCCAGTCACTTACAGAGACCGATTCCAGGGTGAGTCGAAATTGCACCGAAAAAAGTCACACGTGCTTGCCACGGTTATGGGATGCGGATGCGAGAACAACGCTGCCTGCGGTTCTGTGCAGAACTCACGGCTCCTCGCCAAGTATTTCTCAGCCTAGGTTCCAGGCCGTTGCTCAAGTACCGAAACTTACTGATGTGGCAACTGCTTGGCCCCGGCGGTCGGGTAGTCGCCCTGTTCAAGGCACAGGTTGGTGAGCTGATGGTAGCACCTTGGTCAGCATACTTAGGTACGAAAAGTCGAGCAAAGTCAAAGGCTGCGGCTGTCGGATGTTCTCCTTCATCTGAGACGCTTTGGCCTCATGTTTCGGAGCGAGCAACTTGTTCAGCTTCGAACAGCGTGGCAGACAGGCCGAAACCTGATTCAGGTCCTGCTCGTAGAGGTCCTGCAGCAGACGGGCCCAAGTCCTGCTTGACCTGCGCTTCACCGAAGACCATGCAGCTCTCCTTCAGGATTCCGTTCTGCTTCTGCGTAGCTTCAACCTGCCGCGTAAAACATGTGACCACAGCTGGACTGAAGCCAAATTGCAACGTTTGCAGGAGGCACCCAGACTTGGTCATAGGGCGGCAGCGCTGACTCATTCCCTTCCAACAACTCCTGGGCATGCGAGTCGAACTGCACGGCATGGCAGGAGGAACAGCAAGTAACACAGGGCACCAACAATCACAGGGGTCCTTGAGTCCATTATGCACCTCCGTATACCTTGAGATGCTGTCGTACTGCCAGTTCAAAGACAATAAGCAGCACACGTGTGCTCACAAGACAGAAACACAACAAACGATTCAATAGCTGAGCCCATCACCCTTTGCAGTTCGTCGTGCGCTTCATCAAATCCAAGCAAAGCCTCAAAGCTTGAGCAGCATCGTTAATCACTATCACTAATCGAGGCTGCTCCTCGATACAGCGATCGGAGGCATGCAGGGACTGCCTACGAGTACCGCAGATGCATCTGTGGTCTGAGAAGCCGGCTTCAGGGCTTCGATCTTCAGATTGACTTTCTGCGTCTCGGCCAAGCCGTTAAGTTGGTGAAACAAAACGTTTTCTCCCGATTTCGAAGACAGCGTGCTCCTACGTATGCTCTCTAGATCTCTCTAGCCATGATGGGTGTGAGATTTGGCCTGCGTTGCGATGAACTGCAGCCGCTGGATGGCACCGTGTGTCCCATACCTGCTCCCACGAAGTTCGGCATCGTGCATGAGTCATACCTTGCGAGGCTGAGTGCCGAGCTGGCCACTGTATGAGTCCAGATCCTCTGAGAGCAATGATGCCTACCAAGGGCGCAAGTTGCAACCTGCTTTCTTCCTGTATCTGCGCGTCGATAGGTTGACTCGTGGCATAGATTGGCATATGCTCAAGAGCACTGCAGGCCCACAGCTCTCGACAGAAGCTCAGCTTCGCACAGCCATTGCGAGGAACGTAGTTGCCGACAGATATCAGCTTTCGCGACTCATGCTCTGTGGGTAGATCTTGGCTAATCTGCACAAGCACTCAATCATTAGTTTTCGTTCTTGTTGTTCCTACTGCTGGTGCGAGCGAGTGGTCTGCCCGAATAGCTCTTGCTGTCCCTTGGTCGCGGTACAGTGCACTACCGCACCGCTGCTTGACGGATACCCAACAGCAGATTCGCTGAGAACACGTGAGCATGCCTTGGTGGTGTGGCAGCCGCTCAAGGCATCAACCGTACAAACAGTGTCAGAGGTCCCGTGGTGCAGGCAGAACCTGATAGGAGTGTCTCTCCAAAACCATGCCAGTTCGACTTTCTGGCTGATGCGAACAGCCAGATCTCCAGGCCTGGATGCGCGCAGTTTGTGCCCTCACTACGGCTTGTTGCGGCCGAACTCCTTACCAAGCCCTAATTAGCTCAAGCCAATCAAAGTATCTGGCTGGTTGTCCTTATGACTGTGGTTGCCAGCGCCCTTGAAAATGATCCTCACATCAGGAAAAGAGATTTACGGCTGGTCAGGATAACAGCAGAGTGGTGGTTGATCCAAAACACAACTGGACCTCATTCCGGCTTGCCAGCCCGGTCTGATGGGTAGCGTCACTGGCTTCTTCTCCTCAGTGGTCGAGAATAAGAATTGCAACGCATGCATGATGCATATGCCCCTTAAAGGTCTGTTCGTGAAAGTCCGCAGGCCCTGGCCTGGTATGGAATGAAGCCCGGACCCAGCCGGGTTCGCTCTACCACCACGCACCTGGCACTACATGGCACTACGCAGCTGCGGCAATGACGCTGCCAACCCAAGTCCCGAACCTGGTGCTGCCCTCCTTGAGCTCGCTAAGGGTGCATTCGATCTGCGATGGGAGCTGTGGAGATCAAGAACTCAACATCCCGGCGGCTGCAAAAGGCCTCCATCTCGATCGTCGACTCCTTCCGCGAATACAACATGAAATGCGAAGCTCTGCAAGAGCTGCCGAGGTTTCATGTTGCGCACGTGCAGGCTATCTTGGCCAAGTCCTTTGGCATCGAGGGCAACACTGGAAGGTCTTCCAATTCCGGCTCGTACCTGCCAAAGACATCTTGTGAGCGCGACCAGACTGACCAGATGCACTCGCGCTGTCGCTGCGATGCGCACGCCACGCTCAAAGGGTCGGCAGAGGAAAAGAACTGATTGAAAAGCTCAAAGGGATCGCCCACATACCTGTTACGCCACACAGCGCACACATTTGCTAACCAGACATCCCAACCATGGCTGCAAACTTGTCCGAGCGGCTGGTAAGGCTCGAAATCTGCGTCGTGAGGCGGGTTCCTGTTGGTTTGTCTTATGCAGTGGCAAATCCTCAAGATGAGATTTCAACCATTGCCACTTGCGTGCGAGAGTCTTCAAGCCGACCTCTCCATGGGCATCGAACCTTCGCGAGACCACGTAATTATGCTTTGCAGCTGCACGAACCGTGTTAACTAAGTACTGAAAGTCTGAGCTTGCAGCTGCTGTCGTCTCAACGGATCTATTAGCACCTGAGCACTGCATGTTCTTAATTTACCGATTGCATGTACAAGCTGCCAATGTCTCCATCCACTCTCACAGAGGAATTTGCATGCAAAGCCACATCATAAGCTTCTGCAATGTCCCGGAAGCGCGACTGCGCCTCTACCTAGTGAAGTGTTCAGCAGCAGACGGCTTCCCTTGGTAGTGCTTGTCTTGTGGGCCTTCGCACCGGGATTCTTCTGTGGATGCCACTTTGCCGCAGCCTCCGCTCGCTAGTACCGGAATGCTGCCAGTGAGGCACGAAGCGTGAGATTCATCTCATCTGTACCGTGCCCACAGGGTCCCGGCCCACTGGTATCCCGAGCGAATTTGCCGGGTTGTTGCGGATCGCGGAATGTCCAGCAAGGCATAGTAGTCCCGCCTCATCTCAAACAAACGGCTGGCTTGCTCTGAAATGCCAGTCACCTGAGTTGCGAGCGCCATGTCTAAAAGCCAGAAGTGTCCCTCCGTGCCCTTGCCAGGAACAGAAAAAGGAAACGTCTCGAGAGCACGGCACGAGCACGGAAAACACGTGTTCTTCGGCCCTGGCCAAGCAGCGGAGGCTCCGGGCTTCGAGGACGGACCGCTGAGAGCCGAAAGGCACAAAAAGGCCCGCTTGCTAAAGCCAAAGCTTGGGGCCAAGGTCTCCAACCAACAAATCCATGCGTCAAATTTCACAGCGCAAGCCCTCCATGCTGCGCTCCTCCATCTTGCAACTGGCGCGGACGTCGCGAGCCATTTCCTCGATCTCTTCCTGCGCGACGATGCAACATTGACACGTTTCAGAGCCCATCTGCCCAACTTTCCAGCTAATTACCGGCGAATCACAACCAAGCCACTTTGCTTCGAAACAACCTACGCTTGTCGCACCGGCCAAGCACAGGCAGCAAAATAAGCACAAGTACTAGGAGGACTTCCAAGAGTGTCTTCCTTTGACCTGTCTCTTGGTTCGACTCCGCAACCTTTGTCTGAGCTCTCTCACTTTTGCGGATGTGGGGAAGCGATACTGCGCACGCTTTTCCGGCCTTGCTCTTTGGGCTCACTTGTGGAGCCATGCTATGCGATTCGCTCAGCGCGATCCGGTCCGCGTTGCACATGGCGCTCAGGAGCGATCGAGCTCAGGGTCGGCCTCTTTTCCGGGCTCCTGCTGCCCCGGAGAGCAACTCGCGCATCTCTGCAGCCATACTGCGCAAGCACGCATAGGACCTGATCTCCAGCCGCGGCAGCGGCGGCGGCTATGGAGGCCGCCGCGGCTGAGGCCGCACTGGTCTCCAAAAGTTCGGTGAGGCCTCATCAATGCAGTATGTGCAGTCACTCCGTGCTACGAGTACAACAGCCTTTAAGAGAAGTCTCGTGAACAGAGCAAATGTCAGAACCGTCCCGACAACGGGTGTAGGCTTTCCGCTCCGGCGTGCTTCCCTGAGCTTGGTGGTGAGCACTCGCTCACGAAGGACTTTGGCCTTCGGAAGAGACATGGCGCTACTGGAACTCTTGCGCCACGTGTGCCCACGTGTTCCTGAGCCGCAGGCGACACGTTGGATCGGTGCCAAGATTCCAGCAGCCATCTGGAAGAGGAGCATGTGACATCGATCGAAGTAAACCGTGTTGGCATCTGAGCCGAAAACCCGTCGACTCTGATCCGGTCGCACATCGGATAGGGCATTGGTCTGCACGAGGGTCTTGACCCACTGGCCGCAGCTGCGTGGATTCAACAATTCCCTGGTCCCCCACCCCGCCCTTGCACCAAGTACAGCATCCGAGAGGCAGAGCGCTGGCTTCGCGGAAGAGGCCCAACGTGAGTGTCCAAGATGCCCTGCACTTTGTTTGTAGCCGTGCCTACACTCACAACCTCGTCGGCACATGCGCACATCGGCTGTTGGAGGCGAGGGTATGTGTACAATCATGCGTATCATGCGTACGAATGCCTGCAAATTCAGAAATGTATGTGCATGTACGGCATATCTGGACCGTGGTCAGGCGGCAACACTGTGCAAAGTCCGCCCTAACACTGAACCCTTTAGCTTTTGCGAGCATGAGTCCGAAAGCGCAAAAATCCTCATCTCCCGGCATTAAGCCCTTAACCCCTACGCACCTGGGAACACTAGGTACGCCCACTGAACTCCGACACATGCTGTCTTGGGAAAAAACCTTGGCCTCACACTTTTGAAGCAGGACCAAGGCCTTAAACTTTTGAACAAGTAAGAACCGAGGCCTTGACCTTCATGACACCGCCTAAACAACACACCCCGCCCATCACCGAATGCCTCCGGGGTCCTCCCCCGCACGCCCCTCAAGGCTTCAGGGACCCCTTCGAAGATTCAAGTCAGCGATTTAGGATTTAAAACTGCGACGGTGTTGCAGGTGTTTCAGCCAGCAGCTAACATGCCACAACTTAAATGTGAAGTGAAACCGTGATCCGTCCCCTTTGCAAGAGCTTGAGCAGCTGTCTGAGTCTTCGTATGGGTTCGTAGACTTGTTGCTGGCTAAGGTAGGCCGAAAAGCACAGGGCCGAAGTCACTAGCTTCGCATACCTTCGCAGCAAGACAGACCGGCCCTTAAATGATTTGCATGGACTGACCTCTGCATCTGCCAGCAGGCAGCCATAGACGATCGCCCGGTATTGGAAACCCTGGCGGAAACAGCCGGCACTTCTGCACAGCCCATTTGTTCATGTTTGTTCGCTGTTCGGCGGAGTGGAAAAGTCTTGCGAGAGCCATTCCCAGCCTTCCACTCTGCCTGATCCAGCAACACCTACACGACGCCGCACAACAAGTCTCACAAGTCCTCACTTGCAGCCGCATCACTAAAGCTGGCATCGGAAGCGTTGAAATGAGGCTTGCACTGCATCGATTCGAAAATCATTCTCAAAGTCCTGCCATGCTTTGCAACTGTTCGCAGATGTCTGGCCTTGATTACTGAATATTACTGATTACTCACTGTCTACTACTCTCCGGGCACCTCGTTGGAACCCGAGACGACCTCGAAGTCTTCTTCCTTGGCCGTGGCCAAGCCGCAGTGAAAGTCCGCGGCAACGTGGATCAAAAAGCTCCGAGCAAAGTCTTGCGACTCCAGGCTTGCGAGGATGGCCATCGCGTGCATGGCCTCCTGACACAAGGATTAATCCCGAGAGAAAGAAAAGGAGAAATGCATGCCACTGCCTGAAGCTCCGCTTCGATCACATGCACGGCACCACTCACAGGCTGGCACAGAGCCTCAGAGGCGCTCAGAGACGGCGCAGAATGGCAGAGGCCCTGCTCTGCTCTGCGGCCCTGCAGCTGCCCAGTCGCTGTGGGAGAAGAAGTCGCTGGCATACTGAAGAAAGCTCGACCTGCCCCTGCCTGACCACAGGCCCTCAAAAGCTCAGGCTTGGCAGCTGAAGTCTGAGCGGGCCTGGTGGCGAGCTGTTGGTGGGGCTGGGATCCGGATCTCCGATGGCCTCTGCAAAAGCAGGTGCTGAAACGCGGGGCACAGCTTTCAAAACAGTTCTGGGTGAAACTCCAGAGCGCGCTCCAGCTGCTGCTTCTGTGTAGCCAGTGCCTGCAAGTGCCGTGTGTTCGCACTGTTGTTGTGCAAGCTGATGTGGTCCCCCCCCCCTTTGGGGCCTCTGGGACAGTGTCCATGGTGCGATCAAGGGCCAGCCGTTTAACCAGGCCTCTCAGAGGCGATGGAAAAACTGGCATTGAGTCCCGCAAATCGGACGGGCCTCTGACCGCGTATCCCCACAGGACACCTCAGCTTCCATCTCATGGGAACCGACACATCTGCAGCCTTCATGCCGGGCTGCGCGCCTAAGCAATACCTCGGAATCGTCAAGCTCAGCCAGAGCACAAGCGAGATCAGTAGAATCAATAGAAGCTGAGCAACTGTATGCTGGCATGTTGGGGCGATGTCGAAATCATCACCCTGGCGGGCACACAGAAGGTTGTGCTAGCCGAATTCCATGTAATTCCTCGCACTTCTCTGTCTGTCTGGCATGGCAAGCTGCGCACCCATCGAAGGCGACGTTGTCTTCGTCGGACAAGCTCTTTTCCTCGCCCCACCTTTGTCTCAGCACTGCGTGGCAGAACACAGACACACCATCTGCAGGTCATAACTTCGCACAATTCACGTACCGCGAGCGTAAACTGGTAGATGGAGCTCTCTCGTATAACTACTCTCTCGGTTGAGTGGGCCAGAGAGCCAAAACTTGGACGACTCGAGCCATGCTCAAGACACTACCACGCATCTTGCATCCGTGCCACGTGGCAGAAACGTAGGCCTGTACGACCCTCCGGCTCTCATCCCAGCTCACCACCTCAGGGCAAGGAAGGCAGCATTGCAAGAAGCCGGGCACTTCTTTGCTCAGCGTCCGGCCGAATGATGAATGCCAGCCAATGCTGCCTTAAAGCAGTCTCCGAAATGAAACTCTTCGGAAAGATGTCCAGTGCAATCCGGGGAACTGTCACAGCGTCCTCAGCCTTGAGGCCAGGAACACTGGCCTGCCCAGCAAATGAGCCGCCAATGAGCCCAACAATGCCTATGAACATGGCCATCACTCGATATGTCCCGAAAAGCATGCTGCATTAACACCAGCGCTAAGCACCCAAGGCCCCCTTTTGTTCTCTCACAGCAGCTTGGATTTGATCCTCAGCCCATGACACCAGCGTTGCCAAGGCATGAGCAGTGTATGCAAGCATGTTCCACTTCAGTCTTTCGCTGAGACAAGAACTCCGTGAGCGGCGAAGAGCTCCAGTCTTTGCTGGCACGTGACCTCGTTGAGACAAGCGCTTCGCTGGATTCTTCTCGGCCCTACCAGGTGGCAGAAGCTTGCAATGCCCGAGCTTCTTACCGCACATCTCTCGAGACACACTTGTTTGTACGCAGTGACCTGCGGCACTCCCACAAAAAAGACTAGGCGGTGGCAATGCTTAGGGCTTAGAGGCTGAGAGCTGCACATCCACCGCAACTTCGGCTGCACACGTATCCTGCCCCTGACAAACGAACTACACCGCTGGCAACTGCATATCTCAGGCATAACTCCCCTCCCTCGGAAACAAGCCGAGCCTGTCCGCAAGCGAAGGGTCGTAGAGTGGAAGCTGAGGTTCCTCGCACAGCACGGCTCTCTGTCGCAGTCAAGCTCTGATCGAGTTCCCGACAAGTCGCGTGTGGGAGTGAACTGCGCCACCCGCTGGGAGCAATCCCTACCTCGGTATCCGGAGTGCTCCGTGCAACTTCCGACCCGATGAGTCTGAGTCCTAACGGAGCCCCAGACTGCATGCGGCATTGCAAGCAGCTTCAAAGTTCTTCGCGCTTGGACCTTCCGATCGCAGCGAAGCGATGGCGTGTGGGAGCGGTTGGAGTTGGGGCCAGGGAATCGGCTCTTTGACTTGTCCATCCACAGCTTGAAGTACTTGCTCCTTACAGAATTGCAATCGTCTCGGCTTTGCCCACTCTGCTCAGCTGCTCTACACATCGCCTGTCAGCATAGAGCTCCAGCACTTTCCTCTCGGTGGGAACTTGCAAGGGTTGCAAGCCTCGTCACGACGACACAGGCTAGAACAAGTAGCTGAAATTCCACATCCCTTCTCTTTGAGTTAGGTGCTGCTGATGGATTCGGACTTCAAGATGAAGAAGGATGGGTAGCGGTTGACCTCGCCTCATAAGGCAGCTCGACGATCACATGGCCTGTAGGCCCATGCAGCCCCATGTGAAAGATGATCTTGGCCGGGCCGAGGCGTTGACGCACGATGAAGGTCGAGCCATCGACGCCAGGCAAGACCTGGTCGAAAGCATTTTCGACGCTGTGGAGTTCCTGTTCCATGACCGGGGCACGAGCCGCTTGCAAGGCCGCAAGCCAAAAGAAATCGCCTTCTGGAAACTCTCCGTCCACGAAGTCATGGCCTCGCAAGGCTGTTTGCATGGGGGACAGAGAAAGCTCCGAAGCTCTTCAGGCTCCAACCGGCAAAGATCCCTCCAGTGCGCACCTTTGGCCACCAGGCCTGGGAAAGGACTCGGGTTGCCTACTCTTGGCCACAACTCTGTCCTGTCGGTCAAAGACTTGTCGCATCTTGTTCACCATGATTAAACAACCATGTTGGAAGCAAAGAGGTTGCCTCCGTTCCACAAACTGATGACCACCGTTCCAAACAGAGACAACAGCAGGAACACGAAACCAAGAAACGCTGGTCAACGGGGGGCGCAACTGCTTCTTACTGAGACCAGCCAACACTGCAGAAGTGGCTTTCTGTCCCGAATGATTGCGTCCGCGGCTGGTATCCCAAGATCTGCGAATACCTATGCGAAAGTCAATGCCTGAATGCGTCCCGCCCCTTTCACGGGTCTGTGGCCCACGGCATGTATGTCTGCCACCACGCCGGCAAAGTCATGTCGTGCATCGAGGTAAACCTCAGAGCACCATCATGCAGCTGCCCGCCCGTACACTAGCTCACCAGCGCCTCGCACATGCAAGCCGAAACACAGACACTTTTGAACAACCCACACATACACGGCAACCCCCCATGTGGGAGTAGTGCAAAGGTTCTGTTGAATCAGCAGCAAAGGCTTGCAAAGGAAGGAATCTCAATCTGGGGAATGGCCTCCAAGAACGAAGCAAATCTTCTAGGACTAGGACGTGTATTGTCGGTACAAGGGCCAGTATAAACTCGCCACGCCGCTACGCAAGTGGAGGGCCTTCGATTGACATGCGCTTGCCGGAAAGAAAGGGGGTTTACAGATCGCCACCCAAGTCGAGGGTGTAGGACCGATGTAGGAGAAACTGCCGCTGGAGCCTTTAAGATCTGCACGTCATCCCAGCGATAGCTTTGGGGACTGCCAATTCGCTGGCTCGTTTTGGAAACAGCTCTTTCTCTTCGTCGCTGAGGCCTTTGAGGATGAAGGCCGCAGACTGAGTGATTTGAACGTCGACCCGGGGAGCGTCATCCGTACTGATGACAACAAAATCATAGAATTGCACCATCATCTCGAAATCGAAGTTGTGATAAGCAATTTACCGAAGCTAACCGATTTGCACCGGCAAGCTTCCCAACCTTGCCGGCAGTGTCCGTTTAATCAAACGGCCTGCCAGATGCTGCTTGGTTGACCAAGCATGTGGCTGAATCTTCTAGGAAAACTACAGACCGTTGACCTCCGTGGCATCATAGGTCACAGGAGTCGGAGGTCTGGCAAAAGGAAGGTGCGCTAGAGGGGGCTCTAACCTTGTTAGCCACGTGTGCGCTTAAACACGATCAGCTTGCAAGCCAAAACATACATTTTACAGATGTCTTGTCATCAATCACAGACAATCATTCTGTCTAACGCAACCCGTCCCACGTGGCAAATGGCACTGCCTGTGGCCACGGCAAAGTCCAGCTCCCCGTCCGCGATCTGCGAAGCTGCGTAGGCACTGTCCTGGGAACGGAAGCTTGAAGCGAAGCACACCACCCAGTACATGCAATGAGCAAATTCTGATAAATCTTCTGCTACACGAAACCCACCCAACTGACTGCGGAGTCAGGCGTGGCAGGCCATCACATGCATGGGAATCTTTCCACTTCGGAGTGAGCTGCTTTGGGACCGTGGGATATGTGTGGTCGGCAAGATCCTCGCAGACCTTTCGAAGTCTCCCGAAAATCCTGAAAATCCTTCAGGATCTCATGAGAAGCGGCGTCGGCCAGAGACCCGAAACTGGATGCCCATAGTTACCCCGGTATGCCGCAAACCCGAGGCTCAACCGCCCCAAGATATCTGCAATGTGAAATCTGAGGCCAGGACGAAGTTCAGGATCTCGGCACGGCCTGAGCCTGCAGTCTCAGAATATTCGAGCCCCAGCACAAGTTGCAAGGCGGCAAGTCATGTACATGTAGCTAGCTAGATGAAGTGTGCCTGAGCACTTTCGACACGAGATCTCTGTGATGGCAGGTGGACTACAAGTAAGTTGGAGGAGCCGGGACCGGGGTCCGCACGCAAGGACCTGGCAGGCACTGCGATGATCGAGAGACTTGAGGTGTCAGCATCACAGGTCGGCTGGACTCTTCGAGTCGCCTCTCGCACTGAAGTCGGTGCTGCCTTCAAGTTGTTTCAACGCTCAGACAGCGACGACAGATATCCTCGGGACTCGGAGGAGGGCTTCTTGGCATCGTTGCCGTGCACATTGGCTATGTCAACGTAGAAGAGGTTGTCCGGTGCCGCCTTTTACGAAGCATATTGAGCAGATCTGAGCAGATCTGAGCAGAGCGGAAGCTACCCTCACATGCCTGCTGACCCCAAAGGTCGACGAGACGCAGGCCTGAGCTTCTGAGCCTCTACACTCACCCGCAAGCCATGAGCATTTGGGCTCCGTCGTTTGCCGCTCCAGTTTGACAAAAAGTGGTGAGCGTGAACGCCGGCCTGAACGCCGACCTTGCGACGCTTTGATTTTTCGGACACTTTGATGCCATGGCGAAGTTGCGACCGGCCTCCACGGCTTCGCCAACCAATCCCAGGCCTTTGCTGCGACACTGCTGTGACTCTTTGCACAGAGCCGGGTCAAACTTGTGGATCTGCGTGCCGCACAGTTCAGCAAACTGGGCAGCTCTGAGCGAGACTGGGGGAAGGATTGGAGACATGGCCTCGGCAGCACGAGGATGGATTTTGCGCTGGGAGACGGCACGCTGATGAGAGCCCCACTCCTGCCAGCCCTGCCAGCCTTGTGCGGCTCGCGCTTCCGAAGCCAGGGCCTTAGAGGCCGTGCACGAAGCGGAAGCGCTCTCTCTCAAACCACGAACTGGAATGTCTGGTCACAGGGCCCCGGGCAGAATCTGCGCTGTGAAGCCATGCTACAGCAAGGGCCACACGCACGCCCCGCATTGAATGCAGACTCTGCGCTGTGGCCACCCTGTTCGCGTTGTTTGTGGTAGTCTGCGTGACATGTGTGGGTCAATTCGTTCTGTCATCTGCAGGAGGCATTGATCCTCTTAAAGTCTTACACACAGTACACGTTTGCCAAACAACAGCTGTGGCGATTGCTCAGTCTCCAGACTGGTTTGCGATGGCGAACAGCTACCATGCCCTGCTTGATCCAGCTGGCAGCGATGGCAGGTTTGGACAGCTCATGCTGACAAACATCGTGCCTAACACCTGCACGCTCTTGAGGTCTGGATGCGAATGCCCAGCTGTTCTGTATGCCGTGCAGTGACACGCACGAGAAAACACGATCATGCACACACACACACATGTGTTTTCAAAAGCTCAACAGAAAACCTCCTCCAGCCTTACTGAGAAACGTCGCCGGCCAAGCATCTATGCCGATGTCGACGCCCGCCTTCCCAAGATGTTCAGAGCAATCCCGGAACATGCCTTGGCCCTCCGGACTGGCCGAGCCTGCCTAACCTAAAACCGTTCGAGTGGCCGTCACGAAAGCTTTGGTAGAGGCAATGCTCAGTATCGTTCCAGTTGTTCGACACGACCACGTTGTGGCAGGCGTTGTGAGCCAGGAGCATTGCAAGGCTGGTGTCTGGGGTCTTTCAGCAGCTATTGTGGTTTCATGTTGCGGAGGGGGAAACTGGGTGATGACCACACCGTCGCAAGTCTGAAGGCAGTGCGCCCAGGCGTCGTAAAGTACATAACTGCATAACCCTCAAACAGAGCAGTATCGCGCCGAATCGAGCTGCTACACGAGCTTGGGTTACGTTTTGCTGTGCTTTATGAGCACAACGAGCGGCAAGCCTTCGCAGCGCAGGTGTACATGGCAAGGAAGATGGCATCGGCAGATGCCTGCGTGCAACTTATCATCCAGCGAGGTCCAAAGTTGGAGCGCAACATGCATCATGTAAGAACTGTGCAAGCGTCTTTTGACTTCAGCCACTGTGAGAGCCAGAATACCGAACTCCGGACAGACAAGTTCTCCTCACCAAGCCCCGTGGCGAGGGACCTCAGTCAGAGATCTTTCACAACTGCACTGCAAATCGTGAGAACGTTGCAATACGTTGCATATACACAGACAACAACCAAAAGCACCTGTTCTCTCCAGCGCAGTCATTGTTTTGTGCAAGTTGCGAAAGCAAGTCCGTGAGCATAGCCTCCACCCTCGGTCACCGGAATCTCCGAAGAGTAAGCACTCTTGACTGGGACGGGCAAGACAAGATCGCTGATACAAAATACAAGATTCCGGTCCTGCCTGGACGCGACTCTAGGCCACTCTAGCCTCTCACTTCTAACATTGGAGCTCTGCTCAGTGTGGGGTGTGGGCTACAACTTCGTTGCTACGCTACAGGCTTCAGACTTCGACGGGCTGCAGCTTCAAGCCCCTAGTTGAGGAAGGACGCCGAAAGTCTTGCGAACACCCCCAACCCCCCACGTTGCGGCTTGAGAGTTCCCCGCAAGAGGATGTGCGCGTTCTCTGAGAGCCAGGCCCGGTAGGTGCGCGGATCAAAAGCAGGCCTCGCTAAACGGGTCATACTCGGAGCATCAGAACCAATGCTTGGATCCCGCCTGAGGTCTCCAGCGAGCTTGTTTCCTCGATGCCGAATTCTGCGATGAGAACATCCTTTAACTCCATAAATTCCAAACGTCGATAGAGGCCGTCAATCTGCTGTTCATCCAGGTACGGATACCACAGAATGATGCAGCTGGAGGGCCATGCATCATGCAGCTGTTGAACTAGGTAGAGGCTCCACGCCATGTAGGCTTCGTACGGCTCGTAAGGTGGATCGATCAGAACCAGCTGTCGACTTGTCGGCTGTTTGCGAAGATGATGCAATAGCCACCAGTACGAGTTCGTCTCCAGCATCTTGACACGACCCACAGAAAGCCGCTGCACATTCTGCATCAGCTGAGAAAAGATTGTGGCAGACAACTCGAAGAGAAGCGCATCATCCTGAGGCCTCATCCACTGCAATGCCATCGTTGGAGAGCCTGGATACAATGTATTGTCGGTGGAAGATTGAAAATGCCGAACAGAGTTCACATAAGATGCCAAATGCCAAGGAAGGCTGCGCCGACTTCCAAGCAAGCGCAAGATCAGATGCTGATGATCTTGTCCAAGAGCGTAGACGGCTGATCCTGCATGTGTGTCGACATAGGTGTAAGGTCTTGGATCAGCATTCATGCACTGCATGACGGCCGCCAGAGCAGAGTGCTTGAAGCAGTCAAGAGTGCTGCCGGCCTGAGTCGAGTGCTCATAGCGTGCTATCCGAAAGTCATCCACCCCAGCATCGCACATGGCCGCGATGATCTTCAGAACGGTTTGCCACTCACCTGCCTTTGCACACGCCTCGATGAGAGAGGTAAAACACAGGGCATCAGGCTTCAGCTGAGATGAGGTCATGTCAAAGACCAGCTCTAGAGCTCCCTGCCACTGCATCCCTTGCTGTAAGGCTCGGAGCCCTGCATCGCATAGAAGATCGTCTCGGTCTCGGGAATGCAGTGCCTTTTCTGCCTGGGAATAGATAGCCAATGCCAGTTCCCATTGCCCACCCTTCTCACAGGCGTTGATGGCTGCCGTGTAGCAGACTTGATTGGGAGCAGTGGCGTCCTGCTCCATTGACTGAAGCAGCAACACTGCCTGTTGCCAGGCAGCACCCTCACACGCCATCAGTGCGGAGCTGTACGTGAAGGAGTTTGATCGCAGCATCATGGTACGCATATCAGCACAGATGCCAACAGCAAGTCTCCAGATTCCGTGGCGCTCCGACGCAAGGAGCAAAGAGCCACAGGTGAATTCATCAAGTCGTGTCGACTGCTGAGCCATGGCGGAGCTCAAGGCCAAGGCAAGCTTCCAATTTGATCTGCAGGCACTGACGGCGCTGTTGCAAGTGATCAAATCGGCCATCCCTGCCGGCATTTCACTCATTGAATGCAAAGCCACTGGCCATCGTGCTTCTCGATCACACGAGCTGATGAACGCATTGTGGCTGATCACGGTCGGCACAAGTCCACTGCAACTCATGACGTCCAACAGCCACAATGCGGATTCCCACCGCCCCCCCTTGCCAAAAGCGTTGATCCCAGCATTGTGTATGATCACATTCGGCCGCAGTCGGCACCTGAAGCTCGGGCTGCGGGCTGACAAGAGAGTTAGAAAACACCACCCGTGCCCCTCACGATCTCATCGGTTCGCGCTTACTGCATGGTATGATTGCCAACTCGGGCCTCCTCAGATCTGCAAAGACACGAGTAACCTCTTGCCAACGGGACCGTCTCGCGGCGCTAGACAGCACGGAGGTAAATCTGCTCAACGTCTCCGATTCCTGGGCAGAGAAGACACAAGACACAAGGAGGCGCATGCGAGCAGGTCCAAATGCCGAGTGGCGGCATTCAGATTCTGGATGGGCTTCTTATTCTTGACAAGTGCCATGGCAAGAGATTCAGAAATGCCCACAGGCGCCCATGCTTCTGCCGAAACTGCCTGGTTCCCGCACTGCTGACCGTCTAGCCGAAGCTGGCTTGGAGGAAAGGAGGCATCGGCACACGAAGGTCACATTCATCCAACTTCAGATGCAAATTCCAAGCCAAGCCCAAGCAAAGCTCGCACAAGCATTCCAGTCCGCCTTCTGAAGTTCAGTTCCTTCGCAGGCCTCTGAACTGAACGGTTGCGGGGGACTTGATTCAACATTTTGTTCGTCCATATAAACACGCAGGGCTTTGCTAAACTGTGTTCCCTGCAAGTTCAGCTAGCAACGGCCCTCGACCAGCAAGTCGCGACAGAATCGAGTCTGAAAGTTCGTTCATGTCGGTTAAGCTGCGAACAAGATAGTGAAGAAAGACAAGGGCGAAGGCTGAGTTTCTGCTTTCACGTGCTTCAATGACAAGCCTTTGCCGCCAGCGGGGCACAGAAGGGTCTTCTCACAGTTTCGCGATCTGTCAATTCTTCAAGGATTAGAACCCAATGGGGAGTACCGTAACGTTTGGGGAATAACCCTTGGAGGACTTTACGGGCGTAGTGGGTGTGGGTGGGCTGCCGTGCCATGGGACATTGTGCTGATACCACACGTCCCAATCACGAGCTGGAAGCCAAGGCAAGCACCGAGGCAACCATGTCTTTTGCCATTTCAAGCGCCTGCCACACTTCGAGCAGGACTTGCTCTTTATCCAGACTTGCGCAATCTGCACCTTGGAGAACTAATGGAGAACTAAGTGATGGCAAGATGATGAAACACGGTTCTGCGAAGTCCAATCCGGGCCAAGTCGACCACTTCAGCTGTCTCTAACCTCTTCGACCTCATCTATCCATTGACATGATGAGGATGCGGTCATTGCAAGAACGACTGACAGAGTTGACAACTGAGTTCCAAGCTCTGGTGCCAAAAAAAGCATAGTGCCTGCAGTAACAGTCGCTGGCTGAATGTGCTTGTTCGCAATGCTTACGAGCCCCCTGCCAATCTCCACAGCCTCCTTGGTCAAGGCCCGCTCTTCGAGCCACGCCAGGGTTGCTGCCTTGCCACAGTTCTCGTCACGCATGTTTGCACTCTTCGACGGCTGGGATGGCAAGCGCTGACACACAGACTACAAGTAAAGCTGATGCGGACAGTTTTGAAACGAAAAGGACAGATGTTGAGAGCCCTGTGCCTCAGAGCCAGGTAGATCCTGGCAAGACTTGCAGCACTAGTGCGAAGGAAAACTGGCAAACTCTGTTTCTGAGTCCCCATCTGTGGCATTTCCGCTGCCAACTGCGTGGCATGCCACCAACGAGGTCCGGTGCTTCGGGCACCTCGCATAACCGAAGCTCAAGCATGGCCTGGCCAGAGACAAAGGCGCCCTTCTCGGCTCAGAAACGGCTGAGCCTCGCTGACAGAGCCACGCCAGGCAGAAACGAGCCTTGCACAGAGCTACGAGCGCCCGTCAAGCTGCGATGCTGCAACCTCAACCCGATAACTTGGCAGCGCACGAGCTGCGGGGCAACGATGCCTCGGTCTGCGCAGCACTAGTGCTGGGGTCGAAAACAGCGCAAGGGAGCATCATATAATCGATGTCCATCGAGAGGTGCAGCTCTCCGCCCAGCTGCAAATCTGGTTTGCTCTGTAATCGCGTACCCGTCGTCCCGCTCAGGCCACTGAGGGCCGGCGGCGACTCGATTCGATGTGAAACCCGCCAATCTTTTGTGGCATTTGCAGATCACCTTCGTTGGAACGGATGCCGCGCCAGAGTTGCTCACTGCCATCTCTGCAAGGCTTTTAGAAAGACCGCACGATGCTCCGGCCTGGTCCAGTGTGTGGACTAGCTCATTAAATTGTCGCAATCGTAAGAAGCGAAAGGTCCGCCTGCAGTTGATGGCACTCAACATCTCCTGCACCTGCAAACGGCATCATGGACCCATTCTGTCATTTTCTGTCAAAGCCTTGCGGCCTTGCCTCTGCGTCGTTCTTCAGGTCACGAAGTGTCTCTCCATCCTCGGCCGGGGTAGGGACCGGCAAAACGATGCAAACACACCTGAACGCTGAAGCATGCTTTTCGCTCGGCAAGGCACATAGCCAAGATGCAGAAGGTCCTGCAACACACACTTACAAGAAAAGGTCCGTGAAGGCAGACGCTCCATTCACCAGTCAGGATGTCGCATCTCTTCAAGCCTGAGCGCCTCTGCCGAGTCTGTCGGTGAAAGCGATGGCCAAAGGGGAAGCCATGTCATCTTCGTGCAGTGTTGCATATGCAAAAGGGACGGCTTGACTTCCCTTGCTGACCGTGAGATTCACTCTGGACTCTGCACAGTACACTGACGGGAATCCCACTGCAAAGCTAAGAACCTGGTGAGACCGTCCCAAACGGACTGCGGGCAGTCACCTGTAAGTGGGTGTTTGCGTGCCCGATGTCTCACAGCTTTCTTTACAAATCCCATCCGACTAAGCCATCTCACTGCCCTGCGGAGGACACTGGAAGATTAGGAAATACAGCCCTCCATCATCGGGCGCTGGCCAACTGTAGCTACATTGAAACTGACGGGATTGCGGGATAGAGTTGAACCAGGCAGCGTCCCAAGCTGGCCCTGGAATATGCCACAGAAACCCCATCTGTGGCAAAGAAGGTGCTGTACACCCGGTGGGGAACGCAGTTTGCAACGTAAAAGCATGCTGCTTGCCTAAGACGCTGGGTGTCTGCACCGAGAGTCACGCCAACTGATGGCATGGCACTTCCACAAAAGCGCCTGAAATTGTGAGGCGTTCGAATCCTGTGTCAAGTTGCCATTGAAACTCTCCGATCTAGGATGCGCGATGCGCTTCGCCAGACAGCTCAATGGTGCTGAAAAGTACTGTGGTTGTGTCCGGCTTTGAAAACTGCGTGGGACAAGCGAGATCTGTGCTCGGCTGCAACTGAGAGCCCAGGACTCTCTGAGGAAACTTGCGCCATGCTGGCTATACATATGCTATCAGCCTGCAGGTACCATAGTGATACCTGGACTTAAATTAGCACGGCCCGCTCAAGCATCGAAATGGCTGAGTAGGGTACACAGATGCAACGAGTTCGGAAAGACGGCACAAAGCGAACAAGATCTGCTGAGGCATGCGGTGTTGGCGAAGGGCTCTCAAGCCTCCTCTTCTGCTGCCGGTGCAGCAAGCAAGGAGACTCTGGTGCTACTAGATGTACTTGGCTTCCAAACCTGTCTTCTACACTCCAACTACCCGCACCGTCAGCACGATTCATACGGCTTCAGCACTGGAACTCTGGCCCTGTAACGCCTTAGGGCCAAATTTCGAGAGTGTAATGCAGTCTTTCGTTTCGAGACTCACACGAAGAGTTCAAAGTCCTCCTGGCAGGCAACTTCGACACGCACGGGCCCACGACACAACAAGCTGGCACCCTTCATGTTGTGCCCCGCCTCTTCGACTCTAGGACGGCTGTATGCCATCTTCGGCTCAAGAATCTCATGGACGCTGACGAGCAAGCGACCAGCTCCTGAAGTCATCATCGGTACCTTGGCAGAGGACCCGTTTGGACACGAGAATCTCAAGACATCTTTCATCTCCCTGCAGAAAACTGCTTCGAGTGGCATAGGTCAGGTTGTTCCAATAGTCCAACCCCAGGATGCTGTTGATCGTGATCGGTGCACTGGGGAAGGCCCAGGTCGCCCTGTACGATGTTTGCGAGCATTGATGGAGAAGCTTGGGCAGTCTCGTTGAAACCTGCCGACATCTGCCGACTTGTGTGGTGATGGAACATGTGCCTTGTGCGCCCTGTGCCTTCGTGCAGCTGCCGAGAACGGTTGCAGCCATGATGGAGTCACGCTGCGTCCCAGAAATAAAGGGGTTCCTCTAACTGTAAACGACTCAGCTTGAGCCTGCAATATCCTGCAATTTCCGCTTCTGACAGCCTCGCCAACAGATGACTTACACTTGCACTTGCAGTGCACTTGTGGCTCAGCAGCTCCTCCAAGTAGCCTGCGAGACCCAGGTCTTCCAGCTCCTGAGCCCCACTGCCCGCTTAAAGGCCAGCAGAAGAACGAACGGCGGTCCTTGTGAAATGTGTTGAGATTATGACTATGACCTGGACAGAGCTTGCTTCAACTCGCTTGTCTCCTTCTCATCCCTCAAGATCAATCAAGAGCAGTGTGGCCTGAGGTTGTACTGATCGCACGGCTTGCACTTGCCAAACTCGGCAGCTCTGGTAGCTCCGGGAGCCTGCAGCGAAAGACAAGTTCACAAGGCAGACAAGGCGGGCCCAAGCAGGGCACGGAAGCGGCTAAGGCATCTGCCGATCTTGCCCTGAGAGCTGTAGCGGCTGTAGCTGATCCCGCAGCTGCTGCTGAAGAGACGTACAGACCGCCCGCCACGCTCGCTGTAACAGTGTGACCGGCGTGCTTTTGAACCCTGAGCTCCAGATACCCCGCAGAACCAATAGAAAGCCGGCAACTCGCAGGACAGGGAACCCCACCTTCCGTACCCTTCGCGATTGTCCCAAACACAGCCACAGGAGCAACCAGTGGCTCATGGGCCGGGGGGGCGTGTTTGCTTGCGCCTCGGCCTCTGACACACGCGCAGCAATAGCAGCCTGCTGCACTTGCGCCGTGCTCTCGATCTTCTGTCGTTCGGTTTGATGGTGCTCTTCCATGACCCGCTTCATCACGGCTGCGACACAAGCACTCCGTTGTGTCCGACCCTCTTCCAGAAGCCTCGTCCTTTCCGTCGCACCACTTTGCTTCAGCCGCTCCAGCTCGACAGCTGTGGAAGCCTCCAATCGCTTGATTTCAACCACCTGCTTGGCTACCTCGACCACGGCAGGCGCATGCGAAGTCTCGCGAAGCTGAAGCGATCCGCTCTTTCGCTCGAGCGAAGCATCCTTGCTCTGAGATCCGCCATGGCATCCACCGACCAAAGGGTCGAATGCGAATTGCGCATCGGCATCATCCCGATTACTGTCCGTCTCCGGACTTCCGGGGCTCCCGTCCAGGTCAGGTGGGGTGTACAACATGGCTCATGCCATGCGCATGCCTCACATCGCTCGCAGAAACAGAGGCACGTTATGGAAGTTCACTGTGGACAAGCGACTGCATACAGCTTGAAAGCTTCTTCACTCCGCGTCTGCGTTGCAATGACGGCTGCCTCTTACACACGTCTGAACACTTAATTGTCCTTTCACATGTGCTGTGCTAGATTGCTGAAAGAAAGCGTGGCGTAGCTCGAGGAAGACCATCAGGCAAAAGATCAAGCGAGATCTTTTCGTCAGCCTTTTGAGGCTCAGGCCGAGCAAGAGTCGCCAGAAGGCAGGTCGCAACCGCCCCAACCAGGCATCTTTGCTTTTGTCTCCCTGAACTCTGGAAGACTTCGCGGGATCTTTGTCGGCATCAGCAGCCTGCGAAAGTAAGCGCCCGGCCGACCTTCATGTGACGGGGCACAAGCTCCGACTACCGACACACGTGGGATCAGGCTCATGCAGTGCAACAACAGTGGATATACGGTGATATACGTGTACAGATGAGGAACCAGTTGCTTGCCGGACCAGCTAATGGAAGTGTAGTTGATGTCCATGTGGTTGGTCGCGGCAACAGTAGATCATGATGGGCAATCTTCGCTGTCATCGGGCGGCAAGCATGGAGCCATCAACGCTACTAAAGGTTGAGTCGCACGACAAATGCAAAGATCGGCCGAATCCTCTGTCATCTTCTCGCCGACCGATGACATAATGTGCCTGAGAAGCGACTGGGACTTTGTCGTATCGCGGCATCAGGCTGGGAAGAGGAAGGAAAGATTGAGTTAGGAGCGAGGCGACAAGAGAATGCTATCAGTGCAACGGATGAAGTGAGGCTGGTGAATGTCTTACAAACTTTTCGCAATGTGTCAGTGTATGTGCAAAGGAGCTGCTTGAGATCCGCCATCTTGATGGAGTCCGGGGGGCTCTCTCGGATCTGCTTCGTGGTCAACTGGCGAAGCACTTGGGATGCCCACAACAAGTCATTCGAAACCCGATCCACCGAGCACATTAACCGACAGAAGCGAACAGGGTGGCAGTCTTCCCGAAAGGCCCCACTTCAAGCAACGACCTTGTCGAAAAAGTAGAGCAAGCCAACCTGCGCATCAAACTGAGAGTGACAGACGCCAGGGTGAAGAGCGATATTGAATCAATACGCTAGCCTTCATTCCTTCCATTTCCTTGCCCACATCGCTAGACTTGGTCGCCTGATCAAGCGACAAAGAGCGATGCCAGCAACATGACTCGCGACTCGTGCCCGAGGGGCCCGCCTCAACTGTTTCCGTTCTTTTCACATAGCCCAGGAAGTCGGGAAACTGTACAAACGCCGGGTCCTGCATGAAGAAACATACGCAGGAAGCACTGCAGCTTCGTTTTCTGTTTTAGGTCGCCTTCTTCTCTGCCTCGGCTCGGAACTCGCGCAGCTGAGCCTAGCGGCAGAAGTTCCCACGAGAAAGCGCGTGGCCAAGATCTCCGCTGATCTTTGCCTCAGATGCTGCCAGGCCAAGGCTTCGCATGACCTCAGTGCAGACATACGCGGCAATGGGAGCCACCTGATACTTCAGAGATCTGCGAGGCCCTTTTGGATACATCTACACACCATCATGGCCGAGACACGGTACCAATCTCCTTGATCTTAATTCCCGAGCCATCCTCGCAACAGCGACAGGAGGTGCTGTCCAATCGAGTCTGACCATGTAGGTACATACTGCGCACGTATTCGCTGCTGACCTGGTCAAAAAGCTTGAAAACTTCCTGTATCTCTTCGTCTGGCACAGCCTTGCAGTGCGAGGCAGGCACATCTGCACAGGTTTTTGCAGGCACCAAGCATCTCACCATCGCGGAAGCTACCTGGGGACACTGTTTGCAGTTTCGGCTAGAGCGCATGTACAACTACTTCTGCGCCGATTGGCGCCGTGGCGGCCTGGCTCAAGATCGACGAAGAGCCGCCGTTTCCGCTTGAGCCAGTGCGAAGAGCAGTTCAAACCGTTCAGCTGTTGGGACATTGCCGCTCAGGCACGGCTGCGCAAGATTGGATTTTCGAGGCTCGCAAGCTCAAGGCCCCTTGTTCTTGTCGAGACGGCAAACGCATCTGCGTGCCCTTAGGGTGAGCTCATTTCAGCCCTTACTGCGGCGACCCAACCTGGCGCAGGGACAGGGGGGGGAATGAGATGAGCGAGTTTGACGCAACGGACAGCGAGAGCCACCTCAAAGGCTTGCGACCTCTTGACCGAGCTGAGGGCTCCCAGCATGTCCTTGTTGATGTCGCTTTGAGCCTGGTCAATCAAACAAACGACAACGGCACAGGTGGCAAACAGCTCCTATGTTGGGCAGGTGCAGCAGGATTCTTAGCACATGGCCATAACATCCCAACTCGAGCCGCAAGCCGCGCACGGCTCATCGTCTTGCTGCGATGCTCGTTATGCCAACCCTCCTGAGCCCTCTGGGCAAGCCCTCTCGGCAAGCCCTCTGGGCAAGCCCTGCACTGCTTTTCGATTTGAGACTCAGTGCCACACAGTGTCAAAACTCTACCCGAGCAAATTTTCGAACGCAAACTGTTGACGACAAAGCTCGCAACGACGATGCCACGGACAACATGTAGATCTGATCTCTTTGCATTCAGAAGAACGAGGTTACGCCTTTCGTGCACATCCTTCGGAATCCTTGCTCAAAATCTCCTCCTCCCACTCTCGCCAATAAATCCTGCCGTGCTGATGGCCTTTCAGTGGCCCCGGTCTGAGATTGAGTCTTGCGTGTCAAAGTCTCCAGTCTCCAACCCGTAGGCCAGACAGCAAGCAACCAGCCGTGCCTGCGCCGCTTGCAGCATTTCTGCTTTTGCCACCTGCTCCTGGATGCGTTCATGCCGTCGCCAAGCGCTCTGGAAAGCTCTTTGCCCAACGTAACGAAGGGCAGGGAAAGCCCGCTTCTCCAAGAAGTTCTTGCGTCCTCAGCAGCTGCCTGAGCCGCCCGTGCCTGAATGGCATCAGCCTGCGCCTGCCAATAAAAACTATTTAAAACTTCTGAGCACAAGGACATGCTGCCTGGCACGACTCGCAAGGCCTGTCGCAGCTCGTCCTGCATCTGCTTGACCTCTTTCTGCGCCTGCCACCGAGTGACATGTGACAAGTCGACACATCCGCATCACAGCGACTTGGGCCTGAGAAACCTGGGCTTTTGCTGTTCGGACAGCTGAAATGGCCTGAAAAGCGCAAGCCGCAAGTTTGAGTGGCCGTGCTCGGCTCGGGGCGCCCCGACCTGATCCTCGACCTTCTGCTCTCTATCCTGCAACTGCTTAGCTGCAGCATCCGCATCCTGCAGGGTCCCGGAATCGGCTGATTCTGCTCCGAACTGCATTAGCCATTAGCCCCACTAAGGCTCCGCAGGCCTTCATCTTCCTTTCCGCCTGTGGCCCCAGGTGCTGTTGGAAACCCCTAGAGTCGTGGAGCGCGCCTCCTCCACCTTTTTGTCGGCCAGATCGGCTTCTGCTGACTGCGAGCGCACAGGGATCCGATCCCGAAGCAACCACCGCGTGCTCAAGCGAGGACAGGGCTTGCCATGCAAACTACACTGCCGTCACACAACATGCTTCACATCTGACAGTGGGGCAGGAGGCGGTCCGAGCGACATTCCGGGAGTTCGAGTGTAACTAGGAAAGACTGTGAGGAGGTAAAACAGAACATGTCTCAAGAGAGCTTTCGTGACGGATGGAAGTGGCAAGGGTTGCAACAACATTCAAGGGGTTGGAAAAGGCATCCGCCAAACTGGACAAATCAGCAGCATTAGAAGCTTGACTCGTTACAAACCACGTGAACAGGAAGACCTACAACTTGAACTTAGCAGCTGAAGGCTTCATTCAACCATGTGCAGGGAGCTCGAGACACTCACATCTTCAGCTCGAGGGCATCTCAGAGAGATGCGTCATTCGGGCCGAAAGCAAATGTTTCATTCAATGAAACAATCTGTTAACAAGTGCCCAGATGTTTCAGCAATGCGGTCTAGATCCCCAGCCACGACAGTCCGGGGTGGTACGGCATGAGGAGTTGCGAACAACAAGGACCCAGCCTTCAATTCTAAATCCTTGGCCTGCTTGGCTTCCTGCGCAGGGGGGAAGGCGGGGCCCGGCCCTCTGCTGGCCCTGGGCAACTTATAAGACGAGCAGTGGAAGGTCCAGTCCTGCTGTTTGAGCTCTTGCAGCTCCTGCCGCATGGCCATAAACTGCTGTTCCATGGCCTCAGCTGCTCTTAGTGTGCTAGAGTCCGCTCGGAGTCGGGTGTGGCAGAGGCCTGCTTACTGGTTCTCAAACGCATATGAGCTCACTGCCTGCTCTCGCGTCCAGCTCCTCGGGCAGCACACATGCTCAGGGTGGCAGTGGCCCAGCCACCAAAAAGGCGCGGACCCAGCTTGCACCTGCTGCAGGCCAAGAGGTTGAACCTGCTGGTAGGGCATTGGCCTTTCAGGCGTCAAGATTCTTCGAGTCCGGCTCAGCATGTGGCCATTGCTTAGAGCCAGGCATCTGCATCTGCGGCATCTGACCCCATAACTGTGGGGATGGCATCTGCATCTGTGGCATTGCATACGTCGGCACCGTTCCCATCTGCTGCGGCTGCAGGAGTGGGTCTGGCATTATCTGCGAAGGACGACGCAGGTTGGAGTCCGCCGACAGAACCGACGCTGACGGCTGTTCCGGCAGCTGCATCCTGGCAGACACTGGCGGACTGAACGGCATTGCCAGGAGCAACACCGCTTGTAAAAGAGCGTCTGACATGGAAGTTCTGCTGGGCATCTGCAGAGAGGTAGGCTGCAGAAACCTGGCGTTGATGTGATCAAAGCAACTCCTTCACATGCGCGTAAACCTGCAAGTGCTCGAAGGAGTCAGTCTGAGCTAAGGCATTTACATCTGCGGGGCTTGCATCAACTGCAGCGCAGACACCGAGTCGATTTGAGGGTCAGCCTCAGGCAAGACGATGTCTGTCACCAAAGCAGCCAGGAGATCTGGGAAAAGAATGGCGGCCTTCGTGGAGTAGAGGGACTGCATGAGGCCGGCTCCCTGCGCCCTCGGTTGAAGCCAAAGTCAGATCCGACCGCGAGGATGCGAGCATGCGAGGAGCATGGGAATGCGAGGATCCGGCGGGGCCTCCGGCATCAGAGCCTGGCCCTGGCCTCGACAAGAGCCGCCCGGATCTCTGCACTCTGAGACCTCTCTGAGGCACGGGCATATGGAGAACAAGAGACAGCTACCTTAGCCGTGAGCTCAAGCTCAAAGGACTCCCAAGGTTCTCCAGTTGCTGTCAAGAAACAAAGAAACCTGTGCCAGTCACACAGATTCATTCCTCAGTGTGGAGGGAGACAGAAAAGCTGACATCGACAGTCAAGCGAAGGTTCCAGGATCACGACTTCTGGAGGCCATGCGTGCCTGAGCAAGGGCTGCACACTTGCAACCTTTCCACGCCGGTTCGTTCTCTGCTAAGGCAGCAACGATATCAGAATGTTGCCAGTCGTGGGCTACCGGCCAGGGGTAATGGCTTTGATTGGAATAGCCCTTGAGCAAATGTACAGATGGGGAAGCTCTCCAGATCCTGATCCTCGCCTCTCAGCAGGTGGCATCTTGGGCCGATCCCGGTCTTTTGAACGCGAAGGGTGGCTCCGAAGCCAGAAAATCGAGTCTCTGCCGAGCTTCGAGCAGCTCCTCAGACCTACATCTACTGTGGTGGAGCCAGGCCTAGCAAAAGCGTTGCAAAAGTACAAAAGTACCATCATGGCGGCACAGTTCTTCTCGTTTCGGGCCGGGCATACGCTTCACCCTCTGTTCGCGGCCGCGAGGCAGCTCCGAGCTCACTGCTGCGCGCTTTGCCTGGCACAAGAGAGAGGTGTGCATTCGATGCAATGCATGAAATGGATCACAAGTCCCTGTCGCGACAGCACGGAACCTTCGGCACTGTCGCTCTTTGGCGGGATCCTCCAGACCAAGAGTGGAACAAGGACGAGTGAGCATTGCATACCGGTTCGAAGCATCTGTCAGGCTAGCACGGCAAACGGAAACGGCAAGGCCTCCAAGTACTGGAGGGCATTTAAATACTCCGGACGATTTTCCTGCCAAGCACGGTTCGACAGCTTCCGGTTTGTCTTTCGGCATGCCATCGAAGAGAAGCCTCTGAATCAAAGCTAGACCAACCAGAACTATTGCTTGCCCTATTTTGCAGGCTCAGTCCAGTTCTCGCTTTTGAGCAAGTAGTCCAGGCTTGTCCTGCATTGGGCACGACATATTAACACGACAAAGGGGCTCTTCATGTTAACGTGCCGTGCCCACTGACACGCCATAGGCTGGGAAAACAACTGCATGGCTCCTTTTTGGAGGCTGTCCTCATGCATATGAGGACCTGGCAGCGATGGAATGTGCTACGCTCGCACACTGATACAACAAGCATCTGCTAAGCCTGTACATAGAAGCTGGATTGAGTTCGATGCTAAACAATGCCACTATGCACATATCTGCACCGCACCTCTGCGATCTTGCCTGCAACTTCGTCAACTATGCGAGATGCCTGAGCAAGGCCACACATCACAGCAGCCGATTGCAAGATCGGCCCGCCAACCCAGCCGACCTCAGCATCAGCGTCTTGCCGTCGTCGTCGCTCGCCGACGGGATCCTTGCATAAACAGCGGCTTGATCGGAGCAGAACGGCCTGTCCCATTCTGGCCTCCAGGTATGCCAAAGCATCCAAATATTCGGCACCGGTCTCCTTTGGTCCCAGCAACAGGAAGCCCACAACTCAACTTTTTCAATTTCTGTCTCTGTCGCTCTCCGCTTTGCTCTCTTTTTGCGGAGCAGGAGAAAGTCACTGCCCCCTCGCGCACCTACAATGGCATGCCTGACTCTGTTTCTTTGGTCAGGCTGCGGGAGGTTTGCCTTACCCTGTGCTTGTTGGGCTGATAGGGGACTTGCTGGCAATTGAATCGGAAAGACACAACTGCGTTCATCCAGGCCATAACATGCACAATCTCTCGTTCCGTCTCGGCTTCTCAAGAAAACATGATGATGATGATGATCATGATCATGAAACTGTACCTGCACCGACGCCTGCAAAAACTGCTTCTCTGTCTTTCTTGCTTCTTTGGAACATAAGGACCAAATTACTTCCCCACGTGCTGAGCAAGGCCTGACTGATTTCCTGGCGAAAGCAACAAGGACTTGTTTCCCCTCGTGGCTTTGGCAAAGCTGTCCCGACCCAACTCACAGCGAGGACCTGAACCTTTCTGATCCCTTGTCGTTTACTTCAAAAACACCTAGGTGTAGGTACGCTGCTCTGCCCGCTACGCCCTCTCAAGCTCGGCCCCCCCTCCAAGGCGCACGCATGTCCGCGTCCAAGGTGCACGCGGCTTTTCCCGCGTCCAGCCCGCACACACGTTTTGCCTTCATTGGTTTTTACCAAGTATTTCGAAGCTTTCGGATTCCCGAGACTTTCTCAGCTTTAGGGTTTAGGCTTTAGGGTTTAGGGTTTAGGGTTTTGGGGTTTAGGGTTCAGGTTTAGGGTTTAAGATTTAGGGTTTAGGGTTTAGGGTTTAGGAAGACAGCGCGCAGGTCTCCAACGTTGCGCGTGCACCTAGGACACAGACGGCGCGTGCACCCTGGACACGGGGCGCGAGTGCAGCTTGGAAGTGGCGCCCCTCAAGCTCTGATGAACAAGGACTGTTTTTTTCCCACGCTCCGGGGAGTTACGCCGACCCCCCTTTGCGGGAACCGTACTTGGGCTACCCGGAAGACAACGAGATTTGGTGCCTCGTTCAACTTGAAACGTGAGCGTGCAACGGGCACGGATGAGTCGTGGGCGTATCCACCACTACCCTCGCACACTTTGAGGATCTTAAACTGGCTCCGTCGGAGAGACATTGAACAAAATGGCTGTTCCTCCCATGGCATGTTGCAGGGCAGGAACTGAGCGCGTGGCAAGAAATCTGCCCGTCCCCTGATTACACAGCTTGCGACTAAGACCCTGCACCCAACACTAATAACAACATAGAACAGCAGTGCCCGAGAAAACACTGCCACAAACGATGACATTCGGCCCCCGCGGATACCGACGGTCTTCAAGTCTAAAAGCCGCGAAAACGTAAATACCTACAACCTCCCATCTGGCATCAACTTATTTGCCCCAGAGATGGTGCCGACACCCCACGGCAAGCACCGTTCCAACATGACGGACAACTTGTTAAGGCTCCAATAAGCGTGATACGTGTGTAAGACTGTGCTGTGGGGTTTGTTTGCAGCAAAACACACGACAGTCGAGGGCGCACCAGCTCTCGAAGCACGAGCATCCGACAAGATTGGAAACCTTATCCCCCCAGCTGCTACAGTACGAGAGCGGGTGCGAGGTCCATGGTCGTCCACTTCTCCGAGGACCATCTTCTTACTTATCGGGGGCCGAACAAGCGTGGTATAGCGTGGTCGTGGTCAAGAGGAGCATTTCCTTTTTGTCCCTCTCACTCTGTCTCCTGCTTCTTATGCAGGCCCGTCTCTCTCTCTCTGTCTCTCTCTCTCTCTCTCTCTCCCGGGTGTAGGGACGTCTCACCGTCCCCGGGCCAATTTGGCCCACCCGATCATGTTGATCAGGCATTGGGGAGTGACGAACGAACATTGACCATCCAATCGCTACAGCTTACTAAAATAGAATAGAAGAATCAGGATGATCGAATGTTCTCCAAGGCACATGCAAGCTTGTCTCTCTCTCTCTCTCTCTCTCTCTCTCTCGCTCTCTCTCTATCTATGTATCCACATACATGTTGCAGGTAGGTATATGCACGAACCATTAGGGCCTTTGGGATTGTGTCCTGCAGAGATGGTCAACAGCTGCTTCCGCTAACTATAGCAGCACTAGCATCAGCCACAATGCATGTCTCACGCACAGCCTGATCCAATTCGGGACTGAGGGTAATTTAGGGTGTCGGTAACTAAGGGGCTTGAGGAGGGTTTAAAGTTTAGGGTGCTTCCGAGTGCATGGCAGTGTTGTATCCCGCCGTGCCGGGATCGATCGCACCCCTTCCAGGCAAGGGTGTGCCAAGCTTCATACGGCTGCATGTGCACATACATACACACAGACAGCTCGACAGACTTATGCATGCATGTTACATAAACATTAACACACCTATATCTAGCTAGATAGCTAGCTAGCTAGCTAGCTAGATGGATAGGTAGATAGATAGATAGATTGCATACACGCAAACACATGCACATGTATGCAACTACATATATAAAACCGGTGTATAGGCATGCACACAACCATACCAACGTGCGTACATACGTACGTACGCACCTACCCACATACATACATACATACATACATAGATACATACATACATACATACATACATAGATACGTACATGCATACATACTTACTTACACACTTACATACATACATACATACATACATACATACATACAATAGATATACATACATACATGCATAAATACTTACGTACGTACATACATACATTTAATACATACATACATACATACATACATACATACAGACATACAGACATACAGACATACATACATACATAGATACATACATACATACATACATACATACATACATAGATGCGTACATGCATACATACTTACTTACACACTTACATACATACATACATACATACATACATACATAGTATCATACACACAGACATAGTCAATACAGAGACAGACAGACAGACAGACAGACAGACAGACAGACAGACCGACGGACGGACGGACGGACGGACGGACGGACAGACAGAAAGACAGACGTGACAGACAAACGTTTGCGCGAAGACTGTTATGTTTGCACGGAGTCATGCATCCTGTGAAGCTGTCAGCCCACATCCGGAAGATCTAATGACCCCCAAACCGTCCCAAACCTCCCAGCAGTCTCGGAGCATAGGGCCTGCGGATGCCGGAAAAGAAATCAACGATCTGTGTCCAGCCCAGTCCTGTAGCTCGGGTTTGCAGGGGCTCATGGGCTTCAAAGCACCTTTACGTAAATGATCATGGAACTTACCCTAAGGGTCCCTGTACCCAAATAGTATATACATTGGCCCTAAAGTATCTATATAGGGACTACATTAAGGCCAAAGTATATACTATTTGGGTACATGGACCCTTAGGGTTAATGACTAGGGTTATAAATACGGTAACTAGACTTACAAGTACATATGACCCCAGTGAAGGTACTTATAAGCTTACTCACTAAGTCCCATGATCCTCCAAGTAGCTAGGCTTTAGGCTTTAGGCTTAATAGGTTTTTGGCTGCCGCTAGTGCGATGGAAACCTGAGTGGGTAATACTAGCATGTTTCAGGCTTCCTGGGTTCAGATACTTCGGTGTCAAAGTGTGTACTATAGTCTTACATTAACCCTCAGGCTAAGTTGCAAGTA